ACACACACACACCACACAACTATACACACAGACCACATACTGTACACACACACCACACAACTATACACACTGACCACATACTGTACAGACACACAACACAACTATACACACTGACCACATACACACACACAAATCAAAAAGACCTTAAGAGCTCTTACATACGTTCATTCTGTATTTCCTGTTTTATACTACTATTTTGCTTATTTACTTGTTGTCCCTGATCACACCTGTTTCTTTGTGAAGGTGTGACCGTGCACACCCCACCCAGCGAGAACACACACCCTGGCCCACACACACCCTGCCCCACACACACCCTGGCTGCGGGCCACGCCATGCGGGTTCTGCAGAGGCAGTGCTGGATCAGTCAGTCCTCCAGCTGTCCGGGTGCCTGTGTCCTCTGGGGTGAACTGTTCCAGAGAACAGCAGCCAGGCTTGTCCCAATACGCCCAGGGTGGCTGTAATACGAGAAACGCACATTCTCAGAGAATGTGTGCCTACAACCTTGGTGCAGCGTGTCCCTGAGAGTGGAGCCGCACCAAAGAGCAGAGAGTATCTCTTACATAGCAGCAGAGCTCCCTTGCTCTGCCCTCTGAGCCAGCCTGACTGGGCACAGAACTAACCTGGCAACACGCAAACCAGGCTCTTCGTCCAGCAGGCCCTGGGGTTTCTCCCCACACCCCCCCGATGAGACACTTCCCACAGAAGAGCTCTGCGCTCACCGACGCTGATGAGACACTGCTCACAGAAGAGCTCTGCGCTCACCGACGCTGATGAGACGCTGCTCACAGCAGAGCTCTGCGCTCACACCCCCTGCCAGAGACACTGCTCACAGAAGAGCTCTGTGCACACCTCTCCCTTCTACCACACTCGGGGTCAGGGAACTTGATTTCTAAAGTCAAAGGTGATGTATCACGGTGTTAGCAAAGCAATAATGAGCAAAAACGATTCCTGTGAAACCCTGTTATTTGCAGGGCCCAGTCATGAGTGGTGATCTTGACCTGCTTTGCTGGCTGTCTTGCGTTTCCTCCACAGAGGCGCTGGCAGGTCTCCTGACAGTCTGGTTGCACAACAAGGTAATGAGTGACAGCAGTGAGTGACCACTCTCCATGCGGGAAGTTGGAATTCCGAGGAATTCCGAGGAGCAGTGTCTGTGTTCCAGCTAAGTCCAGGCCCACTCCGTGTCTGCTCCCACGGATGGGTGGGGCTGCTGTCACTATGACAGGTCGAGAGGGGCGAGAGGAGCAGAGAGCCCACCAGAGAAGGAAGACAGGAAGGTCAGGCACTGCGAGGCTGGCAGGGAACTCACAGCACTGGAATCGGGGCCGACTGCAGGTGAAGATCACGGAGCTGAAGCATCTCGCAAAGGCAGGGTCCTAGAGCAGGCGGGGAACTGCACTGCTCCAGGAAGCCTTAGTGTCAGAGCACTGGTCCAGCCCTTGAAAGCAATCCCAGTCCTAGCCATCTCAAACCCCAGCGCCAGGTCTTAACCATGCACTTCAACTTCACATCTCTCCTCTCACCACCTCTCATGTCTCACTGTGTGTTGTACTGCACATCCTCTCTACTGTACTAAACATCCACTGTACTTCACTGTACTCTGCTGTACTGCACATCCTCTCTACTGCATTACACTGTACTGCACATCCACTCTACTGCACTCTACTCCACTATACTCCACTGTACTGTACTGCACATCCACTCTACTCCACTATACTCCACTTCCACGGCACTCTATTGCATTCCAGTGTAATTCACTGTATTCTGCTGGGTTCCACTGTGCTGCCCTGTACTACGGTGTGCTGCACTTCCATTAAATTGCACTCCTACTGGATTGTGACCCACTCCACTGTACTACTTCAAGTGTCTGTTATCTATTTCAAGTTTCCCGAGTGCTGACATCTCATTCCCAAAGACAATATCGGAATGCCACAGAGGAAAGCCTGGTCCAGGGCGTCTGCACAGCTGGCGCTTAATGCGCCGGAAAATGGCACAGACAGCCCCCTCCTCTCCCCACGCCAGCGTCTCCCACGGGAGCTGTCCATCTGGCACAGTCCGTAAAACTCACAGCCAGCGTCACGGCCTCACCAACGCGGGCTGGCGCCGCGGACACGAGGAGGGAGGGCGAGCCGAGAGCCTCCCAGCCCTCCACAGCTCAGGCACACAGCCGCCAGTGCAGATCGCTCCTGCCCTGTCCGCTCACAGGGAGCGACTGGGCAGCCCTGCTGCTGGGAGAGCTGAGCCAGGAAGATCCCCTCACTTTCTGGATGTGAGAGAGTCTGTGTGTGTGAGAGTGAGTGTGAGTGTGTGAGTGTGTGTGAGAGTGTAAGTGTGTGTGAGTGTGTGTGTGTGAGAGTGAGTGTGAGTGTGTGAGTGTGTCTCTCTGCTCCAGCAGCTGCCCGGGGCAGCGGAATTCCCAACGAAGGCGGATGGAGGTACAGTAAAGCCTGCAAGGAGCTGCTGCAAGCCAAGTCCAGGAGAGGCCGAGACCGCTCCCCCGTTCGCAGTGGTAAGTCCGAGTGCCCGTGGGCCTGGTGCCCTGGGTCTGCTCTGGCTGTGTGCCTGATTGCTGCCCAATTAAGGCTCAGTGCCTTGAAGAGGACCAGGCTGGCAGCTCTTGCTCTTGTTCTGTTTCCTCCGCTGGAGAGCAAAGGAAAATCTGACACGGATGTATGGGCCCATGAATGCAGCATTTTCTGCTGCGAAACAGAGGGGCTGTTTGTGCTGCGCTGCGCCCCACTCATTGTGAGTGTCCCCCCCACAGACACAGCGCAGTCGGGACAGAGCTGAATGGCCCTGGAACAGTGGCGGTGTTTGTGCCCCATGGCTGCCAGCAGCAGGGAGGGACAGTGACTCATCCACTACGGGACAGACGTCCACGGAACACCGGACCCCCGAGACCCTTCCTTGTTCAGCTGCCACAGACTCACACGCAAGGCGGCGCGGACAAACTGCAGGCGCCAGTGTCTCCCGCTGTGGGGGAGGTCTGACGGGCGGTTCGCCCCGTCCCCCTGGACGTCGCTGGGTTTGGGGTGTCTGGTTCCTTTTGGAGTCTTTTCCCCGTCTGGCCCGGTGTCGGGGTGCAGAGGAGGAGCGGACAGCTCTCACCGAGCGCACCCCAGCGCAGCCCCTCCCTCGCAGACCGCCTGCAGGTCGGCTTCCTGCACGAGCCCCTGATCTGACGCGTCGCCAGCGTGTGGCGGCTGTCCGTGTGACGTGTCCTGCAGCGTGCTGCTGCACAGGCAGGGCGGATGTGTCCCAGGCATGTCTCTGAAGAGGATTCCCTTGAGTCCTTCAACAAAGGAATGTTTGAAATGGTTTTGGCTCATCAACATGCAGCTAAGAGCCCAAGTACCTTTCTTTGCACTGCTTTGCAAGCAGTTAAATTCCAAAATCCTGCAGCTGTTTGAGCAGAAGTGCATCTCAACAGTGGTGCTGAAGGGCAGTGTGTCCTCTGTGTCACCAGACAGGATCACTGCTGCCCTGGACACACGCTGAGCCGCACTGTACTGTGGCTCACTTTTCCACACTCCACTCAGGTGAGATTTGGGAGTGAAAACTGGCAAAAATTTGGGGGGATTTTGAGATTCAGCAGGTGATGTTTGGTTTATAAAAAAGCGTTTTACAGTTTAAGGTCACTCGTATTTTGTCTGTTAGTCATGACTTCTGTGGAAGTGTTTTCTCACAACCACAGCTACCTACACACCCACTGACACACACGGACACGCACGTACATGCACACAGAGACACACATGTACACACACACACAGAAACAGACACACACGTGTGCCTGGGCTCTGGACCTGCTGCTCGAGCTGTGATTGTCACACTGCTGCAGGTCTAACAGCACTTTCAGTGTTTATTCTGCTCATTAAGTTTAGTTTCTGCTGCTCAGGGAGTCCTGCTCACAGCAGGCTGCTGATGTGACCCAGTCTCGAACCCGTGCTGCGTGTGCGCTCCAGAGAGGAGGAATATTTGTGATGGGTCTGATTTCAGGGCGGCTGTCCAGGCAGAGCTCTGCAGAGCGGCAGGAATCTCCTCGGAGACGGAGAGCAATTTACTGCTCAGGCTGCGGCGCAGGGCACCCGGGAGAGGCCTGCTAACGAGTTAACGAGCTAACGAGCTAGCGAGCACTCCAGTGCTGAGGGCAGGAGGGTCGAGCAGGCGGAGGGAGGGGAGGGGAGTCCTGGGCTCGGCACACAAAGGCAGCATTGAGGCTCTAGGTCGGGCTGTTAGTTCTGTACCCCAAGTTCCACAAGCTCCCCCTTGGGACTGTCCCCCCAGACCATTCTCTGAGCCGCGCTGCGGTCGCCATGGAGAGCTGCCCCTCCCTGTCTCCCAGGCCGGGGGACCAGCTCGCCCAGTGGGCAGAGGATCGCACCGCGCTGGGCGGGGGGGCTGGCTCTGCGCCAAGGTTTTCAACATCAAGTGAAGAAAACAACTTCTCCTTCTTGTGATTTTTGTTGATTTTATTTCTACACTCCAACATAGGTGTGCCTCAAACCTCAGACTGCACCGAGATGAAAGCACAGCGCGGTTATTCCGCGCTCTGTACGGGGCCAGCTGAGCGCCGAGCTCATTATAAGAGGATACCTTTTGTAGCATTGTTGTTACTTTCTATGGCGGTTCTTCTTTACTTCTTTACTGTCGCAGGATGTGGCTTCAGTCGACATCACAGAACAAACTGGAGGCGTTCCAGCACCTTTGTTGCTTTTTGAAAGCCTCATCCCTTTGAGGTCTGCTTGTTCCTCTGCCTGCTCGGCGGCTGCTTTCGAGGTCGAGGGGTGAAGACCCTGCCCCCCACCCCCACCCCCCCCGCAAGAGGGGAGGAGGAGGGTGCGGGGAGCGGCGCTTTAAGAGCGCGCGCGGAGCTGCCAGCCGAACTCACTTCCCTCTGGCGCGCGCCTGCCGCAAGGTGCACCCCGCCGCGCGCTCCCACCCTCCCGGCTCCGCGCGGACCATGGCTCGGCACTGCGGCCAGCTGGCCACCCCCGTGCTGCTGCTGCTGGCGGGGGCCTTCGGCATCATGCTGCTGGCGATCCCGACCCGGGACGTGGAGGAGCCCCCGGATTACATGGTAACTCCGCGCCCCGTCGTGCCGTGCCGTGTCGTGTCCCTGAGGTGACAGCCTGCGGCCCCGGGACTTACCGGCCAGCGCATCCGCCGTGTTTGGGCACACGGGCGCTGAACTGTGTGTTTGCTTGTCTGTTCTGACCGGTTTATTACCGGCACTTGAAAACGAAAATGAAATGAACCTGTGTGTCCGTGCGCGTCTCGGGCACCGGCTGCCCCTCCGTCGGCCGCCGGCTCTCCTCCGGGGTCACGTACCGAGTGTAGTTCTCACCCCGCCCTGCTGTTGCCTGTGGTTTCGTCGTTTTCGTAACCGCGAGTGAGGCTGAGGGGGAGAGTGTACCTGGTCAAGGGGTTTGCGCTCGGCCGTGGACACGCTGTCCGGTCCTGTGACAGCGCTGACCCACCCGACTCAAACTCCCTGCGGGCTCTTCCATAGCTCGGCCCTGCCTCCCTCTCTTCATCTCACTCCTTCCTCTCCCTTCACTCACACCTGGCACAGCGCTGGCACTGTGTGTGAATGTGTGTGTCTCTGTGTGCCTGTGAGTGTCAGTGTGGGCAAGAGCGTGTGTGTGTGTGTGTGACAGCCCGTGGGCTCCTCAGCTGGCTCGTGTGTTTGCGGGGCTCGCGATGACAGCGCTGTGTTTCCTGTGCTCGACAGCAGGGCGCTGAGAAGCAACACAGACAGAGCTCAAACAGCCGCACACCTGGCGCCACACAGAGCACTAGGCTGAGAGCTGCCTACCTGAGGGGTGGCCTGTGAGCATCTCCCCTTCCCTCCTCCATCGGAGCAGAGCAGCAGGCGGTGGGTTCGAGAGGGGAACCGCAGGCTAAGGCACAGTTCTGACGGGATGTGTGTGTCAGGGAGAGAAGTGGCCGTCAGTGGAGGTAGAGCCTGAGCAGCTGTTGGTGTGGGGTGTAATTCTGAGAACGTGATAGCTCAGTGAGAGTGTGTCTCTGTGTGCTAATAGCTCTGTGTGTGCTAATAGCACCGAGAGAGTGAGTCTGGTAATAGCTCTGTGTGTGCTAATAGCACTGAGACAGTGAGTCTGGTACTAGCTCTGTGTGTGCTAATAGC